TGGGCGATCCTGCGCAACGCACCGCCACTGGATACGGGCCGAGAAGGCAACGGAAGGGAGAGAGTTGAGCCGCCCGGCTCTTCCCTCCTTACCTTCTTGGTGATATAGCAAGTGCGGTAAGCGCGCAGCCCCGAGAGGCGGGAGGGGTCGGGACGGGAGGCCGCCCGGAGGCGAGGGTGGGCGAAGAAGGTCGGAGCGCGGCCGAAAGCGCCGACCCAGGCAAGGCAGAAGAGCCACCCGCCCCACAGCCGCCCGGAGACCCACATGACGGCAGAGCGTCTGCCTGAAATCAAGACTGCCGCCGCCTCTCGCCTTATTTATAGCCGCGCTTCGGGAGGGCGGGGAGGGAGGCGGGCCCGGAGCCTCCTGGCTCCACCCATAGCCTCGAGGCGGGCAAACGAGCGCTGCCCTCAAAAATCAGCCACGCCCCCCCACTCGATGATTCGCTGCCGGAGAGGGCGGGGGGAGGCGAGACGGAAAGGCAGCGATTGGTTTCGACTTGAGGCAAAGCGTTAAGCCTTCCCTTCCCCCACTTCCCCGCCGTTCACGGAGCTGGGTCGTGGTTGCCACGGCAGGTGGAAACGACGAAACGCTACGATTGGCTAGAGATGGGAGGGAGTGGGCGGGGCTGGGGAACGGTTGAGTTGAGGCGGGGAAAAAGGGGCGGGGATCTGAGCGGCGCCCCTGATTGGCGCGTGGGAGAAAGAAGGTGCTGTTGTCACTTCCGTCGTGAACCTCGGGAGCACTTCTGGAAGAGAAGGGGCTTCTGCGGTAAGGTATGTTACTTTTGTTAGGGGAGGCGGGGGATGATGGGTGCATAGTCCTCTCATTTTCCTCACTTTATATTCTCCTCGATCAATTTGTTTATTCGCCCCTATTGGACTAGGGCTGGGAAGACCCGGGCTGAAGTTCATCCTCAGCCATGGAAGCTCCCTGGCCGACGTTGGGCCAGTCCCTTTCAGCCCGGCCTACCTCACAGGGTTGTTGTAGGACAACTAAGAGGAGGGAATACTATGCAGGCTGCCTTGATCCCTTGTATAAAAGGTGGGGTATAAATTCACACCACCCCCTGTTCTAGGGCCTTTCAGGCTGCTGCAGGGTGGACTATGCTTTCCATCATCCCCAGCCAGTACTTTAGTTATAGGGGTTGGAGCCTTTCTCATAACTAAAGGCCACACTGTCTTGGGAGTAGCTGTGTGGAATCCCGTGTGACAGGCAGAAATCCAACTGATGCAGATCCCCATTTCTAGAGGGAACCTGAATGAGGGTTGCTTTCAGGAAGAGCAAGATAGATTTCCAAGGAGAAGACTGCAGGCACTGAAACACTGCTGTCCCTTTCTTCTCTTCTAGCAGATGGATTTAAACTGGATTTCCTCAACTTGATGTTCTTCAGCCATGCTGGAGTCAACTTCCCTCACCCCCATTTTATAGGGAGAAAGGGGGTAGAACACATTTTCTTCCACCTGACAATCTCTGGTGAGCTATCGGTTCATTTGGGTCTTTTTCCCGGAACCCCTACCCCTGGGTTTGACATGTTAGACATCATTGCCCAGGCAGAATGGATGCGGCACCCTGTGACAGGGTCCAAAATGTGTGAGGCTAGACTGGATAGTTGAAAGGCATATTGTTGCCAAGAAAATGATAAATGCAAGCCCCCAGCAGCCAAGCCCAACATTGGCTGCCAGTCTGCTTCCGTGTTCAGTTCAAGGTGCTGGTTTTGACCTTTAAAGCCCTACATGGCATGGGACCAGGTTAATGTAATTAAATGTCACTTACATAAAAAAGACCTATTTCTTAACACGTGTTTAAAAAAATACAAAGAATAAAACAACAAAAATGCCTGGAAATAGAAAAACCTTATTTTGATGCTAAAAAGTTAGGAAACTGCAGGGATGTGCTGGAACTTTTGTGGAGGTTTTGTTGCTGACATGGACTGGAATGGGGTTATTTTATTTCAAGTAGAAGTATTTTCAGTGTTTCATTCTGTTTTAGCTGCTGTGATTATAAGTTTTCTAGTTTACTACAGTTGAGGTGTTATCATTTATTCTATCTGAGCCAGAATATCCCTACTGTTATTGGCTTAGGGTGGATGGTAACTGATCTGGGTAAATTTTCAGGGTGAAGCAGTAGGCATTTAAGGAACAAGTGGCAGAGAGGGAGGCTTTGTTGATTTAACTTGAAGAAAAACAGATAGGAGAGTGAGGAAATAGCTGCGAAGCATCATTTAATTCAACATGGACTGGTACTTTTGCTGGCATAATAGTGACTGGTGGTAAATATGCCTACCTCTGAGACAACCCCTATAGCCATTTTATTTTTGATTATTATTATTATTATTATTATTACCAATATTATTTAGCTTCATTGTTGGTTCATTGTAGTGGCGTAATGGTTTTAGTGAGTAGCAGATCTTCTTTTGCATCAGCTTCAGTAGCTCTTCCTATGATGCAGGAACCAAGAATAGATTCTGCTTTCTGCTGAGGTGCTGGACATGGCTCATAGGGCAGACAGGGTAGCATACCCCATTGAGAACCGGCTCTCAGGATAGCCAAATCTCAGCTGCAGCTTTATGGTCGCAAACAGTGAACTGAACGTGTGAGTGGGCAGTTTGATGGTATTAACTGCATGGCCCACAAGCTGCATTTAATTGCAGAGGGGTTGATGTGGGAACCATACCGTGCCAGGTAACGCTGAGGTTGCCGCTGATGCTATTACACACAAGTGCTTTAAGAGTGCTGGTTTATTCCACTGGAGTATGACTGGGACAGTGCCAGGTTGAGTTCCACATACTCTTAACACCTGTATGTCCCCACCTGGTGGAACTACACCTACCTGCTGTTCATGGCTGCATGACAAGTCAAGACATTCAGCTGTGTCTCTCTCCAGCTTCCAGGAATGGAGACGCATAGCTGAGGCAGTTTATGCACTTGAGCCATTCCTCTGCATGATGAATTTTTTAAATGCTAAGCCAGGTTGTCCCCATGTTTTTTTGTCTTAGGAAAGGCCTTCTGTTAACTCCTAGGATAGAAGAGCTTTGGTGGCTTTACTTCCCATTGGGGTCTGCAGTGACTGAAGCTCTTGAGTTCCAAGCAAGCATTTGCATCCTTTTTTGACACAGGGGAAGTAGGGGTGATTGTCAGTGCTGACCTCTTCCCAATGGAGAAAGCTCTTGGTTGCAGAATTAGGCCAAATGGAGCACAGAAGACTGGGCTGCAGCCAGGAGAAGAAGGTGGTCCATCCAGCAGATACTTCTCTAACAGTGGTCAGGGACCCAATTTTAGCACAAGATTTGCCAGGCAGGCCAGCTTCAACTTGGGCAGCATATGTGGTGCATCACCAGGGAGAAGAGGTATTTTCTGATGGCTTGGCCAGCAGTGCAGAACTCTGTTATGCATTATCCGAGTCAGAGAAATGGAAAGGGACAGACCTACTCCAGCTTTGAGCAACTGATGCCAAGGTTGGCCAGGCTTATGGATTCTTGTCCAGTGTATCTGTGGCTCACCAACCAGCTTCTAAAGTGATGGTATTCTCCATAAAGTGATCAAATCTCCCTGATTTGATGGAGCAATTCATCTTCCTTAAAGTGAATGTTCCCAGACCTGCCCTTGGAGGGAACTGAGGGCTAGCCTCTTATGTTACTCTCCAGACCACAGTCAGTGACTCATTCACTGGGACAAGGACTACTGGGCTTGTATCATCTTAGAGCTGCATACCAGGAGAGAGGCATATGGCTTATTGGCTGCCCCTTGCAACCACTGGGTGAGGCTCACAGTGTCAAACCAAACCCTCCATCTGGTTTGGTCTCCATCTGCACTATGTAAGTTGATAAGATTCATCCACCACCCTTCCCATGTCTCCCTATCCTCCCTTAATCACGCCATCATGGCCCACCTACCTCACGCACAAGCAGTATTGCTGGGCCCCAGTTGCTGAGCTACATGGGTCAAATGAGGTATATATGGCTCTGAGACTGGATGCACTCATAGCTCAAACATAAAGGTACACTCTGGCCATAGCAGACCACATTGGCCAGACAGAATGAAAAGAGGACTGTTCTTTCCCACTCATCATGCCATTGCCTGGAAAGTAAGCCTCTGGTTGCTTTTCTTTAAAAAAAATTTCTAAGGATTCATGTAGGGAAGCTGGAATGGGGTGGGGGTGGGGGCAAATTAATGTATGCAGGCTTCAGAAGAAGAGCAGGTAGAATGCTGGAGGTTAACATCACGCTGAGTTTGAACATGCACTCCGTTTTACGCACAAGTGATGTATATGCAAAAGTATTAGTACTTGTTGGTTTGCTGCCTAGGTATGTGCATGTGGGTGCATGCTCTTGATTCCTGATGAGTTTAAAAGTAGCTTTATATGCATATGAGTACGTTCAATTTCAAAGGCACCATGAAAGCCCCACAGTCAACAGGACAAGGAGCGTGCACAGGTGTGTAGCAAGTTTTTGTTTGTATGATTTTATTTACTCACTGTTTTTAGGTAGACTAGAAGTTCTTTCATACCCACTATTTGGAATTACTGTTAGGCCATGTCAGTTTTTTGAACTATACGTTGAATGTTAATTTCTTGGTCAGTTGAAAAGTTCTTTCCATGTCTTTAATGAAGACTAGAGTGAATGGGAGATTTTAATCTACACTACATAGTAAGATGTGCAATTAGACAACATTGTATGCCTCCAAGACACTTGTGAAAACTTGCCTCTTTTTTTAGACATGCGATAAACGTGCAAATTCACCCAATGAGCTACCCTCAACAGATAGACATTTGATGTAATGTGTTTCTAGATTAAGAAACATTTCCATTGTAGAATTGCACACAATCAAGGTTATCTAACACTGAAACTGTGTTCTCTTTCGATAGATACTTGTGAAAGCACATGAATGGCCGACGCTTCCTGGTTGCCTCTGTCATTTCTATCCAGAACTGCAGTTTTGTGTATCCATCATGTCCCAGTTGCTTTTCCAAGCTGTCCCTGCAATTCAGAAGGTATGCTCTGTCTGGAGAATTATTAAACAATGAAAACTCTCAATAACTTTGACCAGATGTAAAGGATTGTGGTATAGAACAACCATCACCAAATTAGTGCCTTTTGGGTTTGAACTGCTTTGAAGATCTACGTTGAACTTCCGAACCTGCGTTCTTTTGGCAGCGTCTGCTTATAATTTTATGATCCATATCTAAGTTCACTTTAAATGGGGTGCAACTTCACTATCAGGATATTATCGCAACCTGTGGTTCTCGGGCATGGGATCAATTCAGACAATCATGTTAGGGTTAACTACTGTTGTCTGAAAGCTAGCATTGCTCAGTGTCTCAGAGCTTAGCCAAGCAAAGTATTCCTTTATGTGCTACAGAACTATTCCCAGTCTAGGTATAACTTTTCCAATGAGAAATTCGTTCATTCTTATTTTGTCTGTCCACCTGATAGCTCACAAGTGGCAGTAATAGAGACCATTCTTCATTATATACTATGTATAAAGTAAAACATTAATAGCAGTTCTTTCTCCTTGTCTGCTGCAGTATGTGAATTAAAAGTTTTCAGGTGAGACAATGACTGGATTCGCACTTGCTAAATCATGTATTTCCTGAACCTAGCCATTGCCTGCAAATTGTGATGTATGGCTAAGCGTGTTGTGAACCCAGCTAATTAGCCCTGATTAAGCCAACAGTGGCTTTGGGCAATAGCTTATCCCCTAAAAGGATTTGCGATGCCAGTAATGCAGCATAAAGTAATTAAACTGCACCTTTGCACAGATGGTAATGCAAAAGCCATTGTAGGCAACTGTGTGAATTAAAAATCAAACTGATTTTAATTCTGAGTTTGTTGTAACCAAATTCAAGAAAAGAGAGTCATTCTTGCTGTTCAGCTTCTGATTTTCCTTCATTCTGTGCATTAGATTTTTAAACTGCTTCAATATTATAACTCTCGGCAATGTAGAAAGATGAAACTTTTTGATAGATAACTGTACGAATGAATAATTTTATTTGTGTTACAGCTCAATCCAAACAGACTGGGCAGGGTGTGAGAGGCAAAAGAAAACAGGACGCTTAAAAATTGTCTATAGTGTAAACCTCATACATCATAGGTGTCATTCAATCAAACTAGCCAAAGGCCCACTGAAACAATGAGACTTTTGATGTGAGCCTGCAACGATTAATCCCTTCTGTCTTCCCTTTGTCAGATACAATTGCCAGAAGTGTGGTTGTTCGGGCGACACCAAAGAAGCAAACTATAGATATCGACTTTTGCTGGAAGTAGCTGACACACGTGATATTTTTGAGGTCACAGTATTTGGAAGCTGCTTAGATACCTATTTTGGAGTTACAGCAAAGGGCCTGCAAAGGTAAAGAAAGGAATTACTTTTCTGAGAAGTATGACCTGCCTCCCCCCATCTACTTGTGGGATTTAATTATATCTTTCAGAACAGTTGCTGTTCAGTTCGCTGCTTGGATACCAAGCTGGTGTATATTAATAATGGCAATTAAATTTGCAGAGCTATAAAATTTGTGGCAAGGCCAGTATATTAAATGGGGAAAAGTTCTGGACTTGGGTCTGAAAATTCTGAGTTCACATTTTCTTGAATTCATTATTAACCTTGGGAAAATTATTCCTCAACTTTGTCTTCTGTTTACAAGAATATGGGAATATGTTCATTAACACCAATTCTCTGTATTAAAAGAAAAAATAACTATTGGATTCTTATGCAAAACATTTAAATCTTGTACTGAATATAAGTAACATGCAGGTAACTATATTTTTTTTCCCCCTCAGCATAAGATTGCCTAATTTATTTAAAATATTTTGCAGATTTGGTAATTCCTGCTGCAGAGAAAGTTGAGCAAGTGTTGAGCGAGGAATAAAGGATTTTAAGAATGTTGCCAGAAACCAGGAAATGTTCTGTTCATATCTTGCTGCTTCTGTGCTTATAAACAATAGCAAATTTGATTTAAAAAAAAAAAGAAGGCATCTGGATACATCTGATTAAGTGATCTGTAGCTCATGAAAGCTTATGCCCCTTAATAAAATTTATTAGTTGGAAAAGGTGCTACCAGACTCCTGATTTTTGGCTGCCGTAGACTGACGTTTTTACACAGTCTACAAATTTGGTTGTTTTATTATTACGGTGCCTTTGAGTCAGTGTTGACACTTGGTGACTGCCTGGACGAGTCCCTGCAGTTTTCTTGGCAAGGTTTTTCAGAAGTGGTTTGCCATTGCCTCTTTCCTGGGGCTGAGAGAAGGTGACTGGCCCAAGGTGACCCAGCTGGCTTTGGGCCCAAGGGGGAAGTAGAACTCACAGTCTCCCCGTTTCTAGCATGGTGCCTTAACCACTAAACCAAACTGGCTATTGGTCAATTAGCACACAAATTATAAGGGTTAAAAACTTAATAAAAGAAAGATTCTTAAGAACCAAGATCTAATCACAATAATAATCTGACCTGGTTTTGCTGGTTTAGTCCTGTAAAATATTCTTGGAATCAAAGAACCCCACAGAAATTTTCTAAATGAGGAATTTATTTGCTGAAAATATTTTACAGATATATGAACTGGAATTCCTCTTAGAATATAAATTAATCTGGGAATAATGTTCGTTTTGAGAGTGTTCACCTTTCCCCAAAGGGTGAGATTTAATGACTCCCCATCTATCAATATCTGAAGAAACCTCTTTCTATATTTTATTCATGTTACATGTTACTCATTGAGTTATATATTTTGGTATACACATATCTAAATACTTAATGGATTCAGTACAAATACGGAATTGATATTCCTTAAATGGATGGGTAACCAAATTTTCACCTATTGGCATCACTTCTAATTTGGACCAGCTAATAGAGCACGCTGCTATTTTACTAAAGGCATCTGTCATTTGCATCAACACTAGAACAGTAATGTGAGGCTTAGAAATAAAAGAATATTGTGTGCAAATGAAATCAATTTGTGCTCAGCTGAGTTATGTACTACTCCGTAAATCTCCCTATATTGTCTAATAGCACAAGCTGTGGGTTCCACACAGATATTAAAAAGCAAGGGTGAAAGTGGACATCCTTGCTTAGTTCTTCTAAATAGTGGGAAAGTAGCAGAAAACATGCCATTAACCTTTACTTTAGATGTGGGCAATGTTGAGCCATTTTATGCATTCCAAAGGAAATCCGAACCTGTTTAGTACAGCAGACATGTACTGTTTATATATTTTGTTTATATATTTTGTCAAAGGCTTTTTCAGCATCTAATGATAAAATTGCAAAAAAAAAAAAAAAAAAACCAGAGGGAACCACGTTGGGAAGGCTGCTCCAGTGTAATTAACAACAAGATTTCCATGATTGTAGCCAAGGGTTAGAGATACCAATGGTTTTCTGGAAGAATCTGATGTATGCAGAACCACTTGAAAAAAATATCAGCACACTGTTAAACCATCTGGAAGGATTTATGTGCAGATAAATGATTATCACTAAAAGAGGAATTGGATGGGAAGGAAGAAATCTGTTGCTGTGACTATTCATTGTGTGTCTAGAAATCCTGAATTCGCCTTGGGCTGTAGCTCCTGGATTTTTAAAGGGCTTGTGGGAGATGTCCACAAGCAATGTGAAACATTTAATCGAAAGGCAAGTCTGTTTGCTTCCCTTTTGGAGTGTAAAAAAAAAAAATGCTGCCAGAGTCATATTAAATTAAAAATTAAATCGTTCTCCATCAAGGTACATCGAAGAACTGAACCGGGAAGCAGGAGAGGCAGAAAATGATACAGTGCTTGGTGTACTGTTTCATGCAGTTGAAACTTGCTTTGTTGGGAAGAAGTTTGTCTTCAGAATTAAGGTAACCATTGTAATTGGAATGAATCTTTTAGAAAACATGTAACTTAGGCATGGCATATAATTTGCTTTGTTGGGCAAGCCTCTGTGCATGCATGATCAGACTTCTGGTTTAAACTGAGCATCATTGTAATTGCCAGTTGACAGCCTGAAATAACAGTTTCAGTAACTGGAACGTTGATCCTATCTTGACCAAGGTACACGCTCTTATGTTTATATGTTGTATCTCAAGCTGTGCAGAACTGTAGTTCCCATGCATAAATGCTAAATGCTATAAACCCTATCCAGGAGTCAGCAACACAACATTTGTGGGCACCTGGACATCCATGTTCTTCGAAATAGCACCTGTGACTCCTCAAATTAAGTACAATTTTTTAAAAAAGAAAAGCGTGGAATTTCATACCAACATCAAATTTTCAGTCAATTTCATGAGACTTCAGCATATTTGCATAGGGGTAAGGTCACTGAGATCTTGTGAAACTTATATAGTAGTTCTTGTTTAGTGACTGCCTCATTTAGCAACTGTTCGCACTTAAAACAGTGATGAAAAATAACTTTGCAACCAATCCTCACATTTATGACCTTTGCAGGTCTATAAAGCAAAGGAAAGTTGAAATCAGATCATAAGCACAGTCACGGTTTCACTTAGTGACCTCTTCGCTTAACAACTGAGTTGCCAGTCCCAATTGTGGTTGCTAAACAAGGACTACCTGCATAACCTGCAAGATTTTGGGTTCTTGTTGATCCAAAGAGATACTGGGCTATTGTGCAGTGAATCTCAGGGTTCGAAAAGGTTGGTAGCATGATCCAAACCATACTCCAGCCTCATTTAAATGCTATCCTCTAATTATACGGGTAGGGAGTTCCAGAAAGGCAAATAGGTGCGTTGGCAAAGAAGCTTCTCACCATAAATTCAGGGTCTGCTTCAGGAAGGATAGAACTCTCCGTTTGTTTCCACTGGAAGGCAAAGAAAAGTTTTGCTGGCTTAATTACAAGGCTCCCATATTTTGAGAGAAGAGATGTATTTGCTGCTGCCATAAATCACGATACGAAAGAGCAATGGTGCATCTCAGATTTGGACTGTCTTCTTCTGCCCTCCCACCTGACAAGGAAGAATTCAGAAACTTGTTTTATCACGTTGTCCACATTAGCCAATTTCAAACCATAATTACTGAAGCTGGTGGTTTAAACTAGCCATAGGCAACGTTAACCACAGTTCTAGGTCCAGACTAGGAGGGGCCTGCATTTAATCAAAAAACAAAGGCTTCTCTTCCTGTTTGTCCTAAACTATCTTGCTGCTCATTTGTGCTTGCTTTTGATACGCCCAATTAGAGATTGTCAATCTTTCAGCAAATGGGACCCACGTTAGATATTTTTGGGAGAATAAAGTCCACAGTATGGGTGTCCATGATGCAAAATCCATGTCGCTCACATGAGCAGGGTCAGATCTATATTTTTGTGTGTTCTTGACTCAAAATAGCAAGAAGCCATTCCAATGATTTTTTTAATAATTATATTTAAAAGGGAATGAGGGCTACATGTGGTTCTGAGGCCTCAGGGAGTTCCCCCCTGTTGTAAGTTTTGATATAATGCAGGTTTTTCTCCATCTAGTTCCCTCTAGAAGTTTAGGGAATACAACTTCAGAGTTCCTAAACAGCATGCTGGTGTTTGCTAGATACCAGTGGTAACCTCCTAACCTTAAAAAAAAAAAAAAGACCTTCCAGATTGCCTGTGTGGCAGAGAACGGGCATGTTTGCCCACACTTGATTTCATGACAGGTAGCCCTCATTTAGCGACCACAGTTGGGACCGGCAACTCAGTCATTAAGTGAAGTGGTCGCTAAGTGAAACCACAACTGTGCTTATGATCTGACTTCAACTTTCCTTTGCATTACAGACCTGCGAAGGTCATAAATGCAAGGATTGGTTGCAAAGTTACTTTTTCATCATCATTGTGACTGTGAACGGTGGCTAAACAAGGCATTTGCTAAACAAGGACTACCTGTATATAATCGGGGTTTATGTCAGATTTAAGGGAACCGACTGGGGGTGGCTTCTTAGCTTCTTTAACAGTTAAACTTTATGACTGTACGCCATCTGGTTTTCCAGCTGCATTTCAGAGAAAAAGAGTCTAAATCATTTTGCTTGAGGACTTTCAAGGTGGGATGTGCAGCCGGCTACCAAAAATGGTGCTTTGAATAGAGGGCTAGTCCGTCGCAAACTGCTTCTTCTGGGTGAATGCTGTGCAGCCTCCTGTATCCAATTCCACGTATCATCAAGTTTATGTTATCAGTGGTGCTGTTAAACCATTTCCCGGTGTTATCCTCCAGTCAGGCAGAGTTCTAAGGGGATACACAAAAGTCAAGGAACCACAACAAAAAAGTCTCCTTTAAGCTTTGTAACATTTGTGCAGAGATGTGTGTTTCATTTTCAATCTGTCTCTGAAGTCTAGCAGGTGGAATCTTGCTGCTGGTGGTTAGTTCCCGTTTGCCTGCATATCCCGAGTTCAGGCATCTGTGCCTGGTGCCTCGCCTGTGAGGATTTCTACTCATGATAGAAACTTACACAAAATTACCAGTTTCAGACCTTGGAGATCCAGGGAGGGGAAGAAACAAAAGCGATCTTCTCTAAGCCAGCATCCTCCAGATAGAGTTCCCATAGGCTTCAGTTGCAGGCAAGCTGGCAACTCTGTGAGTTACAGCTTACCCCATCTGGAGGGTATCAGTTTAACTGAGATGGCCAGCCTGCATTTCAGCGATACCACTTCCTATTGGAATTACCCCTGGATCTGAATCACATCCTTTAGTTTGGCTACAGTGAAGGAAATCAGGACTAGGGTTCATTACTCTTTCCCTTCCCTTCGAAGAGAGATCCTCAGTTTATATGTGTAATGTAGGCAGGGAGGGCATTTATTTTGTTATTGTTTGCTGCCCAGAGTCCATCAGAATTGGGGCAGAGTATCAACATTATTGAAGAAACAAATAAACCTTTTTGCCATACCAACTGCATACAAAACAGAACCTAGTTGTGGATAGGTCTGCTAGCCTGGATAATTTGAAAGACCTGTCTACATTCTAAGGTGGTGAAGAAGCCCCCAGTGATCAATTGTATGGGGGAGAATGTTCTTGGATAACTGCATCTTGTTAGATAAGTACTCAACTAATACTTGGTAGAAAACACTGGCGTGATTAGTCTAGAATTAGCAGTACAGTATTGGGGTAATATTGATTTGACATTTCAAATCTGTGTATTTAGAATTTGTCTTCCTTTATGGCCCTCTTGTTTGTTTGACTCTGGTTACAACCCCATATATCCAGCCAAACTGCTAACTAATGCTCAGGCGAACAGATGCACGTTAATTCCTTCTTCAAGAATAGAATCCTTCTTTCATTTGCTCGGAAGCACGTTAAATTGTAATAAACACAAACCGATATGGGTACAGATATTTATCTAACACGTCTGGTAGGGGCCAGATTGGGGAAGCTTGGTTTAAAATAATCCATTCTCTGTATATGGGTCAGATAAAATTATTGGTGGGTGGGGACACAAAAGAGACATAGCTGATAGAACAAATTTTGTTTCTTTGCAGGGTTGTGACAAGCCAAATGTGGTTAGCTTATTGCAAAAAGGCTGCCAAATTGACCGAAACACCAAATCTCTCATCGCCTGTGAAATGTTCGTACCACCACACCCTGGGCTTGTGGGCTACACCGTTATCCACTATATTGAGCAGCAGCGATGTTTTCGTTTTAAGTACAGCCCTAGGGGTTTATGGCCTCCTGATCATGTCATGGCATTTGATCATCCAAGTAGGGAATTAAAGAACCTGCATGTCTCTAATGGTTTGGATGTGGTTCAATCAGGTCATATAAATTTCTCAAGCTTCTGGCCTTGCTCATTTGGACTAACTTGGTCATCTACTTCATCAGAAACTACAGAACATTCAGTAGCTTTAGTGTCATGTGAGACTACCTCTGATAAGCAAAAATGCAAAGATGGATCTATTACTTCACGTAGCCAATTGGTTTACAATCTCAAGGACCGAAACTTGACACTGAATAAGGGATATGTACATGAAGATAAGAAGCCTCATTTGTATTCTTTTCCACAAAGTACCACCACAAAGAATGAACTGGGAAGGAGATCTTCCATAAAAAGAAAAGATGGCAATGTACTAGAAAGCCCCTTAGCATTAGAACAGAAAGATTCTTCTGGCAAAATTGACATCCAATCCAGCTATGGGCTAGGAAATCCATGGAACCCTTTGCCCCACAAAAGACATAAGGGACACCTTGCTTCTTCATCTTCTCCTTATGCTACAGTAGATGCAGCCTCTCAAGAAGTCTCATCTGAAAGCTTAAATGAATTTCTTGCCAGACTTGAAAATAACAGTGCCACTACTGATCTACAAAATATTCAAGAACAGCATTCCTCCTCAGGCGTCTGTGAAAAATCAGGTGAAGATAAAGAGAATGAGCTGCTCCCAGAAGAACAAGACTATTCTTTTAGAGGAAATGATGTCTGCTGTTTCCCACTGGTTGGTTCCAACTGCCCCAAGGCTAGTTTTGATGCTTCAGCAGATCTCTTTGACATTAGTGCCAGAGGGTCAACAAAAGCCACTCTAGCAATGTTACATTTGCCCCAAATAGTCTCACCAGGGGCAGGTGAACTGACCCCAAACTGTATAGCATCAGAATTCATGCCAAATAAAGTAAATGCTAGCTGGAATAGTTCTCATTATGGGTTATCCTTCCATGATGCACTGGATGTTTCTGCCCCCAAAACAAGTACTCCAGTTGCTGGATCAGTATTCAAGTCAGAATGCAGCCTTGTAGGTACCCTGGACTTCATGCCTGATTCCCACTCCATTCCCCTTGCCAGGCCTTGTCATCAAGGCAGCCTCTCTGCAGGGAAAGAAGCCATTCTAAGCGAATTGCCACTGAATAAATTGCCTTGGGACAATGCCAAGTGCAAAAGGTCTAGGCTCCCCTTTAAAAACTCTTTAGTAAAACAGCTTGTCAGCAAGTTCCCACCATCTGCAAGGTCAAGCAATGCAGACGCTGGCACAGTCAATCCATGTGGACCTCAGCAGTTATTTATGAATCGCATCTTGGCCAAAGAGCTGCTGCCTGAAGATGATGGCAAAGGATGGGTTCCTTCATCGGAGAAATTCCAAGTGCAGGATGAAAACGTGTGGAGAAGGAAGAGGAGGGAAAGTCGAGTCAGGCATAATAGCGATCGCCAAGTGACAGAGAATTCTCCTCTTTCTGAAAGCCAAGGAAGATCCTTGATTCCAAGAAATCTTTCCAGATTAGCAAAGGTAGGATCCCTTCCGAAAAGGCAGCAGCCAGCAGAAGCTAACGTTGGGGGCCAGCCCATTTATCAACAGAGAACGATGCTTGGCCAGCTACTCACTGAATCACCTGCCCTACCACCTTTCGTGGGCATCAGCAAGTCAAGCCTGCTTCCCACACAATCTCCCGTGCCTAATATTGCAGACTGCTCTTCTGAACTCTTTTCAGGTTATGAACAGCTGCCCAGCATGGAGGCCACTACATCAAAGCCATCCTCATGAAGGCACTTTTCATTTTGGTCACAGCCGTGCCTTTAGCACAATTTCAGTCATTGTAAATTTGGGTGGAGGGCAGCAAAAGCTTGTGTTTTTAAAAATTCTGTAGCCAGGCTGCTCATATTCGTTTGATCACTTTAAGGAATGGATTGTATCTAATTAAGTATTAAGGGACTCTTTCCTAGAAAATAAACACTGTTTTGTCATCTTTGATGTTTTGTCTTCCTTTTTATATGGCCACCTTGAATCTTTCTGGTTTGGCAGCCGTATATGTCTAATAAATAACATAAGTACTGGTGTTCAGGCTACTTATATGTCCACCATTCATAGAGAATTTGGGGTGACCACTCACCAGCTAGCTACTGCTAAGCAGAGTTCATTCTGGGGACCAAATGCAAGAGCAGTCACCGCTGTCACCTTCGTTTATAATTGGTGTTAAAATGCATTTAATCCTAACGCAGTTTGCACCTGCTCCAGAATCTCACATTTTTTGCATACTTAAGTTCTTTTGGCTTAAAAGCCCTTGATACAGGGGCACCAACACATTTTTTTACACTGTGTTCATAGCTAGTATATGCATAGATCGATGAGGCTGGTTGAAATGATTTATTGTAGAAGAGAATATCTGTAGCTCAGGGTTGAACTGTGGAGTCCTTGGGGTTCTCTGAGCTTGGTTTTTTGCTTGCAGACGTTTCATTACCCAACTAGGTAACATCTTCAATGCTGAGAGCTCAGAGAACCCCAAGGACTCCACGTGATTTATTTTGCTTGATTTTTTAAAATGTATTTACAGTTGGCTGCTCTGAGTGTTTTGTATGGAAATGAAATTGTACATTTAAGCCAAGGCCTACCCCTGATCTCTGCAGGAATCCAAATGAAAGTACCTGCAGCAGAGAACAGGCCAGCCTTTGTTTCAATTCCTCTGGTGAGGGAGAGTCCACCGACTATTTGGGTAATAGGTTCTCCTGATGAATTGCTCTTGTTAGGGAAGTTTCTTTTCCCAACATTCATCCAGAGCCTGCCTTCCTGAAATTTAAATCCATTCTTCCGTGTCCTGCACTCTGGAAACAGACCTTCATCTCCATGATCGCCTTTTGGATAGCACTAACTTCTCTCCTTCAAACTGTTCTTCTTAAGGCTAAATCTTCCCAGTCCCTTTCATGTCTAACCCCCCAATGCTCATGTTGCTCTTGAACATGTCTCATTTTTCTGAATGCTTTTTCAAACATGGTATCCAGTATTGGGGTCTGATCCCTGTCAAATAAGGGAAACAATTACTTTGCATTATTGGAAATGATACTTCTATTGATTGTTTTGTCTCTCTTCATCACACGATGACTCACTCTGTTTGTGGTTACTGGGTGCTCAAAGGCCATTTTCACAAAGATGGTTACTAAGGAAGTTAACCCTAGGCCAATGCTTTTGTTTTTATTTCCTAAATGGAGAGCTTTGCATGTGTTATTCAGGCTGTTTCTCTAATCTGTGAAGATCATTTGGAACTCTGGCTTCTGTATTATTAATTATCCCACTCAGTGTTGTGTTATTCTTAAATTCGATAAACATTCTTTACCTCTCCATTCAACTTAATAAAAAATATATATTGAGTAGTACAGGGCTTACTGTGCTACTGAATCTTGTGGCATCCCATTTGACAAGGCAAGTTATGCCTCTTAATTTTTAACATTTGTCCAAAATGTGCAGCAGTTATTTAAGAAGATTCCTCACTCTTCTGTAACCCATGGAATGCTTCCTGGGTTTATTACAGAGCACTATGTGCTTCTTGAGGTCCAACTCTAATTATGTGCCATCAAGTAGGTGTCATCTCCTCGCAATCATAGCTAGACCTTCTCCAGGATGATCTTTCCTCAGCCTGGCTCTTCTGATCTTCCAACAGAGCATCTATTGCTACTGTAATCGAAGTTTCCAACATGGAAATGTAAATTTCTGTGCAAATGCTATATGTTATAGCCAAAGGATTCACTTCAGCTTGTCCATTCCAAGGAAGTGGACAGAGCGCTCAGCAATATGAGCTGTGTTTCTTGCAGTCCTGACCTGGGAGTGATCAATGCCTCTTTTGGGGGAAGTGGGGATCATGTCTACTGCATTGAAAGAGAGATTGATGTTCTTGGATCAACCAACTATACCACTACTGTCTGGTCTCCAACCTTCACTTTTTAGGGAAGGTTGCTGAGAAAAATGGCCACAACTACAGAGCAACTTTAATGGCCACAACTACAGAGCAACTTAGAAAAAGTTTATTAGTTGAACCCTTTCCAGTCAGAGTTCAGGTCCAAGCATGGGACTGAAACCATATTGGTTGCTCTTGATTACTGTCAGGACTTAGATGGAGGGAATGTACCCTTCCTGGTCCTCTTAGTAGCCTTTGATATTGAGCATGGTATCCTTTTGGACCATTTGTGGGGAGGGAGATTGAGGGCATTTATTACACAATGCCACTCCCAGGTGGGTGATCACAGTCATTCCCTTGCCAGGTTTGTCTCTCTCTCTTGCTTTTCAATATAGCAGACAAAGCCACCAGAAGTCAACTATTAGTTCAGAGTGAGGTATCATCACTATGCTTATAACAAGCATACATATCAATTCTGGGTCTAGTGGAGATGCCATGAACGTCTTGGTCTAGGTTTTGAGAGACTAGATGGGAAGAAACACACTGAAGCTGAGCATTTGCAAAACAGAAGTGCTGTATATGCCAAGTGCATATGACCGTGCCAGCTCTGGTAGTGACTTTGCACTCAGTGGCACTCCTGAACAAGCAGGTCTGTGACTTGAGGTTTCTTCTAGCCTTACAGCTACTGCTAGATGGGCAGATGGGGGAATACCTTCGTGCAGCTTTGGCTGTTACATCTTCTGTGGCCCCTCCAGGTGCAGGAAACCCAGTAATTCACGCCCTCATCACTTCTAGGATGGATTACTGCAATGCACTCTACATGGGGTTGCCTTTGAAGACTACCCAAAAGCTACAGTTGGTGCAAAATACAGCACTCCGCTTGTTGGCAGTTGAGAGCCACTCCTGTCGTGGTCACAGTCGTTCTGCAGGCACCGCACTGGCTTCCAATAAGTTCTTGAGAACTATTTAAAGTGCTGGTGTCCACCCAGAAAGCCCTTTATAGTTTGGCCCCAAAATACCTCCAGGACTATCTCATTCAAATAGAACCAATCTGTCTGGGATACTTAGGTAGGAGATGCTGAGGGTTTCCCTCATATGTGAGGGAGGTGGAAGGAAACAACTTTGTCATGGCTCTTGGAACAGCTTTTCCCCAGAGATTTGGAACATACCCTCCCCGCTGGTGTTCAGGAAGGTGGTTAAAACTGAGCTTGTTTGCAAAACTTCTAATTTGTCGCTTGGATGACGGACACAGAGATGGGTTATAGTTTAATCAGTTTGATGTACAGGTGGTTCTTGTTTAATGACCACTTGTTCAGCCACTGTTTGAACTTACAATGGCCCTGAATGAGTGGTAGTTACAACTAGATCTTGTACCTACAGCCGTCATAGCGTCCCTGCGGTCATGTGATTGTGATTTGTGAACTTCCCACAAGCAAAGTCAATGGGGAAGTTGGCAGGAAGTCAGAAGTTGCAGTCATGTAAGATCCTCACTTAATGACCCGTGTAGTCCTCATTTAATGACGGCAACCAGGAATGCTGGAACTGCTGTCACTAAGTAGCATGGTCACATTTTTTTTATTTATTTATGACCATGTCACTTAATGACAGAGTTTCTGGTCCCAATTAGTGTGGTTAAACAAGGACTACCTGTATTTGTCTTTACTGACATTTTAAATTTTGATACTGTAAATTGCTGGAAGTCTTTTCAGACTATGGTTGTATATAAGAACTGTAAATAAAATAAAGTAATAAATCTATGGACAAGTTCTTAAGCATCCAAGATTAATCACAGCTTGGAATGAGGTATTTCAGATCAAATACTGTAAGTCTGTGGTCCTGAGAAGGCTAACCCCCAGCTTTTCCCCAACACTGCGAGTTATATTTTAGCCCTAGCGTTACCTACATATCATTGGAGATTTCTTCTCTCGTCTGTCCATTAATAAAGGAACATTGGAAGCTGTGTTATAGGTCTATGGGACTTGTACTAACTATTCTGAATGATTTCGTGGATTTTTAGGACGGTACTGTTGGATTTTGAAAAAAAGTAGACCGCAAGGAAAAAAACAGCACATTTTAAAATGTAAGCTTTATTCTCCAAAAGGCTAAAATTTTAGCAGCTTTATTTTAATGCAAAAGGGGACCATTGGTCAAGGTTTGAGCACAACGCCACCCCTAATCTTCCTGTGCTAGCCGGCCCTCCTGAATTTAAGATACCATGGCTTTCACCGGAGGCTGCTCAAGATTGCGCACTGGTACCTCTTCATTTCGTGCCGTGCCAAAACCTTTCTGCTTCTCCAAATATCAAATTAAGTGATGCTAAATATGGAACAACCACCCATAGAATACTAATCTTGCGATCTGTTGTGAGTCCATAGCCATCCAGACAGTTCATCTGTCTCTTCCAGGTAAATAAGTGAGCACCAGTCTCTAAGGAATCTGCACCTACTCCTTCAATTGGATACTTAGTGTTGACTTTGCAAAAGCGAACGCATTCGTCGAAGAGGTCTCGTAAGGATGGCGAGGAAGGTAGGACATTGTGTTCAGTCCTTCCAACACTGAGGCTTTGGTTCAAGGGTATTGCCTAAACCATTCTTTGCATACACGCACGCACACAAACACATACGTGAGCACGCACACGTTTAAGCCCAAGTACGGCGACAAACGAACCTTCAAGTGTTTCTGCCTGTTCAATGGCTTGCACGTTTTGCAAGGTGATCAGAGCTTCAATAAAGCTCTGAAACAGATTTAGAACACGACTTTTCCCCCCTAAGCATATAAAAACCCTTTGAAATTGTGCACACCCTTTCCAACGAGAGAGTAATTTCCAGACACGGTGCTATTGTTCTAATGAAGAGCGTACCCAGGATTCAGCCGTTACAGGCTACCTCCTATGTTGAACGGCTCTTTTCTAGAGGGACCTTGAGACCTTCCTAGGACAAGCATTTGACATTAATGCACACTAGCTGCAAATTCCTCAAGTGCACCAACAGTAGAGAATCCCACATATTACATTTGTGCATAGGTATAGCCCCAGTCTTAGTGCTACAGTATTCTCTCGAACAAATAACCATATCTACAGTCCAGATTTCCAGTATCCAGCATTTCCCGCAAAGGAGCTATTTTTGCTAAGTCCCGGGGGGGGAAAAAGTATTAACAATACTTAACTAGGTCATTTCTGCAAGAAACAAAGTGGGAGGGGAAGCCCCACCATATGGCAAAACAGTAGAAAATGCTGAGTTGAGTTGCAAAGTTTGGAATACTTATTTGATCAGAAGTGCAGAGATACTAGTGGCCAACTTTTAAATCCGTATCATCGGTATCTAGTCAGAATGAACAGTGCCATGCTGGCTTGAACCAACCAAAAGGCTGCTTATATTTACAATCCGTACTTATCAGCAAACATACCTCCTGTCCGTGGAGAACAGAGAAAGCCAACCGCAGCTGAAATTTAGCCTCGGGAATAGTTCACTGAACTCCTAGAACCGAAACAGCACCGATCCAACCTCAACCCCTGCTGATTGCAAACTGCTGGCATACCCATTTTTAACTTCCATGTTTATCAAAATGCCAGAACATGGAAACATTAATACATAGGGTTTTTTCTCCAAAAACGACACACGCACGCACAAGCACAGTTGGCGGAGTTGTGCCGTAAGAAATGGCACTTCTGGGTCATCATTTATATACAAGCATTTGCTTAGCTGGCAACCGAGAGAAGCTGCCTGATGTGCCTTTCAACTGCCTTATTTAAGGATCCGAAATATCTTCTGCAAGCAAAATTCATCCTGCATTTCCCAGGAAGGTTCCCAGATGCTTCCAAGAAGTGAAACCACGGCCTGACCAGCCGCTACCTAGCACCTTTTTGAAACCTAATCTCCTCCATATTGCAGGGCTCCGGGGTTGGGGGGATGTGTTAAAAAGAAAAAAAAGAAAGGATTATATTCTATGCTGACCCTGCAGGCCTGCCATGCTTCATGATCGGATATCTGACCATCTGCACCAGTCAGACTGGGTCACGGTGGCAGCATTTTGCCTCTGGAGAGAGGCCTTAAGAAGGAGCAGTCATAACTCTTGGGGTTCAAATGCTATCAGTTAAAATTACAACAAGTCAAATAGCTGATACTTTTCCCTTCACCGGGCAAGGGGGACTCCACATTGTTCACAAGGGTGTTCTGCCTCGCTTCGCTGATCAGCCGACAAGCTAAGTCCAAAAAGAGTTTTTCCACGTTATCGGATTCTTTTGCGGACGTCTCCAGATAGTACATATCTTGGGCTCTGGAAAACTCTTCAGCTCTTTGTTGGGAGACTTCTCGCTTATCGGATAAATCAATCTTGTTTCCTATAGAAACCAAACGGGGGGAAGAAATTAGACTGATTCTAAAAAGTCATCAAGCCAACAAATGAACAAAAGATCTGCATGAGTAGTGATGCTCCATGAGTTGAATATCAACTATGTAAGGGGGGCAGCTTGATAAAAGGAAGATTAGCAGACATAAAGGATGGTGTTCATGGGCATCACAGATCCTACACATTCCTTGGTATGATTGGAAAGCTCGAGTTGACCAGCTACATAAGAAGTTAGAACACATGACCTAAATCAGTGTTTCTCAACCTTGGCGACTTTAAGCTCTGTGGACTTCAACTCCCAGAATTGGCTGGGAGCCAAAGCTGGCTGGGGAATTCTGGGAGTTGAAGTCCACAGAGCTTAAAGTCGCCAAGGTTGAGAAACACTGACTAAATCATCAAGCAAGAGATCTTCCCTGCGCAGTCACCAGTCTGCTTTATTTCCTAATCTGGCCACAGTGTAAAATGTGTGAGGGAGGATGTTCCAGAAGAATTGTGGTGCAATCGTATTAATACTTACTGGAGAGAAAGGCCTACTGAGCTTAGGAGAAGTCTTTACCAG